ATCACACCTAGCAAGATGTTTCAGTGATAGTAGCACTGGTTAACCTTAGTCATAGCTCCAGTCACGATTATGGTCACAGTTTCCCAACCTCATAAGATATCATCTAAGTCCCAGCAGTTAAGTAGGTAAAGAAGGACCAAGAAGGCATAAAATGATTGTGTAATTATAAATGACCATGATGAATAGTATATGAATCTTCATGATAAATAGTATGATTCAAGGCAAAAATTTTAATAACTATTTGTAAATAACAGAAGTTAAGAAGGGGTAGAAAACACATTAAGAAGCAGAAGTGCCCTGCAAACCTTAGTGATTTCTTTGGCAATGTCTTACTTGTGTTCTTTAAAAATCTTGAAGTATAGCTTCCAGAAAGATTTTTACCTAAAAAAATAATAGATATTCTGAGGTTTTACTTAAAACAAATGGATTCTTCAAGATTTTTACCTGTGTTCTTGACCTATTTCTAATATACAATTCCTATAGTGCTAGGGTAAAGTAAGAATTCTGAAGTTTTTCCTTAAATAACTGCTAAACTAGATTGGGTATCTAGGCATATTGTGTGTGGAAAACACAATATACTGTTGATTTAATCCAGAATATGTTTTTAACATCCTGTATTGTCACGTTTTTAATTTTATCACCTATTGAATAATTATAATAGTAAGAAATTGGTATTACTAAACTCCCAACCCCAAAAGATTTAAGATCCCTAGCAAAGTTTAATGGCTAGGAAATTTCTTTATTTCAAAAAGACTGCTTTCCTCAAAGAGAAATTGAAATTATAACAACACTTAGCTCAATAGACTCCACATTTTCATGCTGCTTTATGCTCTAGCAACTCCATTAAGGTAGCAAGAATCCTCCATTGAAAATGCTCATGGTACTACATAAATCATTAATTTTGAGCAGACATAGAGAAACACACATTGAATACTCTTGAGTATTTTTTCAATTAAATGTAAGGTTGAGTAACATTAAAAATACACTTGGGAGGCAGAGGCAGGTGGATCTCTGTGAGTTCAAAGCCAGCCTTGTCTACATAGTGAGTTCCAGGACAACTGGGGCTACAGGGAGACCCTGCTTCAAAAAGACAAAAAAAAAAAAAAAAAAAATGTCAGAGAGCCTGGTCAACCTACCAAGAGTCCCCTCCCTGTAAGAGACTTACTTCCCCCTCCAGCAGCCATTAGTTGCCAAATTGCCTTAGGTTGGATTGAGATTTCTTACCCATTTCACTATGTCTTTGCTGGGATTTTGTGTGGTTTGAACTTGAATGGATGGGTCTTGAGCGTGCTGCCACCATTGCTGTGAGTTCACATGTGTAACTGATAAGCTGTCTGAAAAATTGTTTTCTTATGGTCACCCATCATCTGTGGTTCTTAAAATATTTCTGTCTATATTTCTCTATGAGCCCTCAGCCCTTGTGGAGGACATTGAATTGGGTGGGTGGAGGGCAATCAGTGGGGAAAGTGGGATGGGGGAGGGGACCTAAATTCCATCAAGTTATATTGTATGAAAATCACAAATATTTCAATAAGATTTTTTAAAAGTCAGAAAGAACGTTGTTATGTTGCTAAATATTCTTCAGAAATCAGTTGCATTAGATTACATACTAAACAGATAATTCAAATTGGTGTTTCTCTTTTCTTTAATAGCATGGTGATATTTTGTTAATATTAATTTACTTTTAGTGTTTAATCAACAGTAGCTTTTAAGATAAATACTATCCTGTGCATATTTACAAATGTAATTGACCTTAATAGGTTGCTTTTTTCCTTGAGGTATATGGAATTCTTGAAAACAAGTGATATTTTATTTAAAAGATATCATTATGTATAAAACATATTTTATGAACTGTGAGAGTTGAATGAATATATCTATTGAAATTCACTACAAATCAGAGTATTAGGTAAATTATCCTTCTAAACTCTGAGGTGATATTTCATTGTTTATGTTCTAAAAACTGGATGCTTAGGGGGCTGGAGACATGGATCAGCGATTAAGAGCACTGCCTGCTCTTGCAGAAGACCTAGCTTTGAATCCAAGCAATCACATGGTGGTTAACAATTGTTCATAACTCCAGTTCCAGGAGAATTCGACACCCTCTTCTGTACTGCCTGGGCACAGAATGACATGGGTACACTTACACACATGCAGGCATAAAACTCATATGTGTAAAATAAAAATAAATTTAAGAAATGGATAATTATGTCATATGATACATGATGCTATTTAGCACAATGTGCATATAGATTAATATCTTTGTTTTTTACAAAGAATAACTTTCTTCACTTTTCAGTGTAATTTTTATCTTTTGTCATTTACACAATAAGACCTTGCTTATTTCGTCATTTGAAAAGGAAAGGCTTAAATTATTAACCCTTTTCTTTAAAGACTTGTAAACTCTTCTCCTAAATATCAGTCTTTAGTAATTATTGAAGTGCAGCACAGAGGAACGGAAGGAGGATAGGAGGAAAACACAGGGTCTGTGTCAATTTCTTGGTCCCTTATTTATTTACTTCTTTTGTTACTTTCTTAATTCTCAAAGGAACAAATGTTTTGACTATTGTTGAATGATAGTTACATTTTACTAATTTGTATAGACTTTATTTGATAATATCAATAACACTGATATTTAGTTGAACAAAAATGAAACAGGCAGCTTCCTAGATTTGAGGCTGTGACACAAACATGGTATTAAACTTAATGCTGACAATGATTATAATGCAATTAGCAAATCTTATCACCTGAAGTAATATTAGTTTTTCCCATAGTTCAAATATTATTTTCTTCAAGTGAAAAGTATATTTTAAAATGCAGTCATAGAATTGTCATAATTGTCATCAGTTGAATATATTCAGAAAAAAGTTAATTAGACAAACTGTTATTGAGGGATCATCTTAGGTATCTCTGGTGAAATTCTAACAATATGCTACATGGATAAAATAAAATGTTTTGATTCCATTCTATATTTAGGAAAAATCATTGTATTACTAAAGATCATTCAGAGAAAATGAACCACTGATATATCAATATATGAAAGAACAATATATGATAAATCCCAATTACTGTGGGATTTGTCTCCTACATTTATGGGGGCAAGGAGATTTTCCCTATGGATTACACAAGCCAAGGAACTTGGAAAATACCTGATATAACTGACTCTGAGAAAAATGACTGAGGACTGGTGGATCCTCTAGTAACACTCAGTCTAGAATTTGTGGGACTGACGATGTCTGTTGTTGAGTCTGAATGCCTTGAAACTATGGCTTTGAAGTTTTAAGAGCAGAAGAGATGCTCCCTTTTTCTTCTTTACTGGGATTAAATTGATAAAAGCTGGTTGTAGTTGCATATTCTGTTTTAAGTCAGTAGGTGTCAGATAGGGAAACATGTTCCTCATTCTTTCCCCTTATGATGCTGAGTGCAATATTTCAAAATAGGGCAAGACCTTTGTTCAAGAGCATAGTTCCAAGAGAGGTCTAAAGGTACAACATGTCAGGACTTTTAAGGTCCTGCTGTTGGCTTAAATGGATGCTAGGAGTCATGTTGTCTTTCTTCAGGTATCACTGGATAGTGGCATCTCAGTGTTCTGATAGCCATAGGATGGGCTTTTTTTGGAATAGATATTTTCGTTGTAATTTTGTGCATTTCACACAAAACATTGTAATCACCTTTATACCCCCTCCTCCATTCACAACCCCTCATCCCCCTCACTGGATTTCATGCATTCTGTCATATATGTTAAGGCATATCGAGTCAAGTTAGTGTATCCAGACGACCCTCAGTGCAAAAGGTTTTTTGACATGAAAAATGGAAGCTTGTGGTTCTCTACAGAACATGTAAATTGTTTGCTTTTAGCTGTTATTTGGGGAAGTCATAGTAAGTTTTGTACCTTCATTCTGATTTTTAATAACTAAAAACTTTTAAATGAGGCTGATTATGTGCTCATAATACTATTGCAAAGTATATATTATTTGTACATCAAATACGCTACAAGTAAATATATCATGTATCAGAAAAATATGAAAATTATTTTATATATATGTCCTTTTATATACTTGATCGAGGAAATGGAGACACACATAAGAAAAGTTAAAATGGATGGCTTACTGTACCCAGCCTACTTTGAAACTCATTCTGTAGCCCAGGCTACATTTGCTCAGGGGCACAATGTGTATGAAACCCTGGATTCAAAAGTAGAATTGCACAATATATGCTTGTGCACCACACTCAGTTTGTATTCATTTTTTTAAACATTTATTTCCTATGGAAGGATTATTGAAATTCAATTAAATTTGTGAATTACGATTTCCATTGTCAGCATACCCATAACTGTCTATTTTTCTGATGTCAGTGTGAGACTCTTACCTCTTCAAGGGTGGAGTTTTTTTTATTATTCCACTCTCAGAAGGCATGTGCCTCACACATTCTATCTCATATATAGAATTGAAGTATTATTCCAAATATATTTTTCTCATATTTTGACTTGTGTATTCTTTCTTTAAAGAAAAAGATTTTATTTATTTTTATTTTATATGTATGAATGTTTGGCCTGAATGTATGTAAGTGCCCTATGACTTTTTCTGGTGCCTGCAGAGGCCAGAACAGGCATCGGATTTCATGCAACTGGAGTTACTGAGCTGCATGAAGGTGCTAATAATTAAACCTGGGTCCTCTGGAGAGCAAATAGTGTTCTTAACCACAGAGCCATCTATCTCTCCAGCCCCTCGACTTCTGTTTTCTATGCAGATGCTTTAAATTTTCCTTTCATTTTATGTGAAATCAGGTATACAATGAACAGAAAGTAATCTAGGGTCTACGGCTATAGAAGCAGCAACCACAACAGAAATAAGAAATGCAGATTTATTTTTCCCTTCATTCATAAATTATGAGACTTCAAAATGAATATATCTAAATATTGTTGATTTATACAAATTATAATATTCAAACTGAATCATAGTACAACAAACGATGTGGATTAATGCAAATCTGGGATTACATACCTTTATTATTATCCATTCCTCCCACTGCATATAGAGTTCCTACTGTAGATTTTCTGGGCTTTGTTCTTGGACTCTGCATTAAAGTTCTTCTTTCTGGCAGTAGATGATATTTCATTGCTTCCAGAATCAGCTTTTGACATTCCAAGTCATTTTTAAACAGTGCATGATTTTCAAGGTCAGCCAGGATCTGTAAATGATGCACAGTACAGTCACTATTAATCACGCTTACTCATTAATGAATAGATAGTATGTGTAGTTGCCTTGAGAAGTTTAGTTAGTTTGCTATCACTCCTACTCTTGTAACACAGATTAGTAATAGTTTACCATATGTTAAATAAATTATAAGTAAAACAGGAAACAAAATATATTGGCTTCTTTTCCAATTATTACATGGAAAGCTGTAATGAAAACTGAAGTGTTAAAATCTGTGTTTGCCTTAGGTTAATAACTTGATTCCTGGCATGCATTCAAGTAGTTTTATATTTTGACACATATGCAAAAGGTCATTTATATTAAAATGATTGACTGTAGTTTTCATGATATTTTAATGACTTTTAAATACTTATGGTGGATTAATTTACCTTAAAAATAACTCTGTCTTATTTCTATCATAATGTAAAAATGATGCCCTAAACCATGTTTTTGTTTAAATTTTGGTTATTTTTGATATTTTTAATAATTTCACATCTGAGTACTATATTTATATCATTTCCAGCCCTAGCTCTCCTCCATCCAATTCTTTAATCCCTACTCCCCACTGTCCACTATCCATTTTGTGATTTCTTTAATTATTATTGTTAAACACGTAAGTATATATGTATATACACACCCAGACAAACTACTTAATACTTTAATATTGCTTATGTGTGTTTAGTTATGACAGCTTGGGATTGGATAATGTATCAGGGGTTCATCCATAGAAAAAAACTGATTATCATCCTTTCAGCAACCATTAATTGCCTATTGCTCTTCATTTGAGGTGAAATATTGTGAAATTTTCCCCACTCACATAGCCATGTTAACTCATGTTGTCATTATGTAGGTCTCATTTGGATAACCATAATGTTCAGATTTCATGAGTTAAGGTCCCTGACACTCCTGGAAGACACTACGTAGCAGCAGGTGTCCTGTTTTTCTAGCTTTATAGTGTTTCTATACAACCTTCTACAATGTTCCTTTATCCTTAAATATAGGGAATGCATTTAAATGTTTCTATTGGATTTAGGCAATCCATAGTCATTTATTACTTGCATTTTGACCAGCTGTGAATCTCTGTAATTGTTTCCATCTACTGCAAAAAAAGCTTTTTTGATGAGGAGTGAAAGTTATACTTATCTGTGATAATAAGGAAAAGTATTTAGAATATAGTTAGAAATTATATTGGTTTAGGATATGGTAGTAGATTCTGTCTGCAGTCTATGACATCTCCAGCTATGGGTGACTGACTAGGTTTACAGTTCTAGGCATGAATTTCTTCTGATTGAGCAGGTCTTTAGACCAGTTAAATAGCTGTTGGTTACCGCCACTATGGTGCCAGTATTGCACCATTAGGAGTATCATTCTGAGTAGTCATTGTTGTGCTTCATAGACCTTAAAACTGTGTGCAGATATTGATTGCTTTTCTCCCTTGAAAGCTTATATACTTTACACAGTTTAAGCATTAAAAAATGTATATTAGAGTTGGAGATGTGGTTCAGCATTTAAGAGCACTGGCTGCTCTTGCAGAAGACATGGGTTCCATACCCAGCACCCATATGGCAGCTAACAAGTCAGGGGATCCAACACCTTCTTCTGACTTCCATGGCCTCTGGATGACAAGGGTGCACTTACATACATACAGGCAATGCACTCATACACATAAAAAATAATGAATAAAAATATTTTAAATATTTGTATACTAGTGATGTGAAACTTTTAGTTTAACAGTTTAAGATAACTAAAATACATTATTATTTAAAATAATTTCAATAAAAATACTCTCTTGAATTTTTCTAATGTTACATATTTAAAAAGATCTGTTGGTTTAGGTATAGTAACAGATTAATTATTGACAATTCATTAGCAACTTCAAGTTTCAGGTAAGAAAGTTTATAAATGTCAGCAACTAAAGTGCTTCCAAATTTTCTTTCATCTTTATCTGTAAAATGAACTGAAACAAGTAGCCTGCGCAATAGATATCTAAACTATACAACATGTTAAAATGAATTAGATGAGGATGGTCTTATGGACTGGACAAAGTTTTTGTCTGTGTGTATAATGCTTATTTTAATGATGCTTAGGATTTAAGCTTTCTCTATAAGTTTGTCTATAATACTTATAAGGATTCTTTGTACAACTTTGTATCTACAGATACTTTCTTAATACAAAGCTCAATTATACATTGTCATAACCTAACAAAATTAAATGCATAGATTTCTTTTTACTATAATGCCATTATTTTATCAGATAAATTACATAGTCTAATATTAAAAGTCAGAAAACATTTATAAGTTTTTTATTACAGAAAGACCTTTAAAATATCATAAAGTAGTATGTAAAGTAATTACATAGTTCAATGCATCTCTCAATGCTCACCAGAGAACCTTCCTCATTCAGTACATGGTGATTATTAAGACAGAGACCCACAACTAACCAACAGGCAGATAAGAGACTGTAGAATGCTTATCTTTGAATAGATCTCCTACATAAAACCTTGTCTCCCAAAGCTGAGGGATTATCGTGAGAGTAAGGGCGGAAAGATTGCACAAGCCAGTCGATGACCATAAGGAAGCAAAGTTCAGACAGCTGGAGAGTTACTCATATGAGGAAAGCAATGGTGACAACATGTGCAAGACCCATGTAAACTCAAACAAGACAGAATCTTGCCATTGAAGTGGGAAAGTGGGTAAGAAACCCTAGCCATAGCTGAGAAACCTATACCTACTTGGAAAGGGAAAGTCAGCTTTCATTAAGAGTGTGACACTGGATAGGTTAACCAGGCTCCAGTGGATGAACCCACAACAAAGGACATTTGGGGACACAAATTTGATTCTGTAGGCACACATGCACACACACACAAACACACACACACGTATACATATAAATGTTTATATATATATATCTATATATGTATATGAAATCAGAGGGAGTATTGTATTGCATAAGGTGTATATCAGGAAGGACATCTAAATCAAAATGTAATATATGAAAAGAAAAAAAAACAGGAAATACAATATATCAGTACATTACTAGAAATATGAAAATGTCTAGTTCCTAAACTATTAATTAAGAGAAATAAATATGAATATGTAACTGGAAAGAGCAGAGATCTAATAGAATCTATACAAAGCATATCACATCGATACCTTTCATTCACGAAGATTCATAGAACAATAAAGCAAACAGAAGTGAAAAAATGAGCTTAGTATAAACCAAAGTAAGCACTAAATCTTCTAACATCTTATCCTTGGGTTATTACATTTATGGAAACTATTTCCTTAGACAGCACAGTGATATAATTTCATATATTTCCTATAATGTCATAATATTTCCAAAATTTTAGCTCACTATTGGGTCTTTTGCTAATAAATTAACTCACAGAATTAGAATAGCTAGAACAAAAATTCATTCTGAAAAAGAAGCTGCAGAGTGCTTATCCCTGGATGGGCACCTGCTTCAAACCTCTGCCCTTCAGGCTCAGGGATCATTGCAGAAGAGGAGGTGAAAAGATTGTAAGAGCCAGATGTGTTTGGTAACACAGGAAACAGAGTCTTCTAGACAGTTACTCATCTGAACTCACAGCAATGGTGACAGCATGCACCCGTCCTGTGCAAGCTCAAACCAGACAAAATTCCAGCATGGACATAGGAAAGTGGTTAAGAAATCCCAACCCAACCTAAGGGTAATTGATGGCTTCTGGACAAGGGAAAAACAGTAACTTACAGGGATGGGGCTCTTGGAGGGCCCAGTGGTTGAACCTATGCTGAAAGATTTGGGGACACAAATTTGACGCCATATGCCAAATGTACATTTTATCTATCTATCTATCTATCTATCTATCTATCTATCTATCTATCTATCTATCTATCTATCTATCTGTCTGTCTATCTATCATCTATCATCTATCTATCTACCTCTCTATCTATCTATCTACATATATATAATGTACATTAAATTGAGAAGGGGACAATGGGGGAAGTGCAAATAGAGGATGTGATCTAAATACCATCAAACTATATTGTATGAAAATCATGAAAATTCAATATAAAAATATCCTTTCAGCCAGGTGTGGTGACACACATCTGTAGTCCCAGAACTTGGGTGTCAGAGGCAGGTGGATCTCTGTGAGTTTAAGGCCAGCCTGGTCTACATAATGTGTTCCAGGACAGTCATCAAATTTGTCTTTCAACATATTTGAAATAAATCTCATATGAATAAAATGCATTTAGATTTTTTTATTGTGAAGTTTCTAAAACATTCCATAGGAAAATAGTGGTTCCATTTAAATTAAATATAATTTGAATCTCTTTGTCAGTCAGTGTAAGGTGCTGGTGAAAGTAGAGTTGAGTGATGATAGAACTGTAAAAGCAACATAGTAAACACTTGTAAGCTCTCCCATTTCACAGAGGAAAACAATAGCTAGTCATCCTAATGAGTTTTTCTGTATATGTTCTGTCTTTCAGCATTGTGTATGCTCAAAACATAAGAAAACTAGACAGAGTTGCTGAAACTTTGCAGTATTATTTCTCTCACCAATGCCACAGCACTTCCAAAAACTCTACCAGCTTCTGATGGCACTAGATTGAACCGTCACAGAAGCAAGTAGCTTGAACACAGATAGACCATCAATAAGGAATCTGGAAGAGAATCAGTAGCCCTAAGCAAACAGCTCCTCATATAATTCACACCTTCATTAGCATCCTTGAAAGCAAACTAATGACACAATCAGTATTTTAGCTAAGTTATTTGAGATCATTTTTACATTTTAATATAAATTGGAAAAGTATATGTAAAAGAGATTTCCAGATTCCTCAATTCAACTGACTCATAAAAGTTCTATCAGAGACATTTGAATGAATCTGCCCCAAGTTTTTCAAGAAACAAGGAGAGACCACATGTGATATAAGAAAGTTCATGCTCAGATGCCGAGGAGCTCAGAAGGTGGGAGACTGTGACCAGTGATAGTCATGTATATAGAGATTAGAAATGCATGTGAA